AGGTTCCTGGAGGCGGCTCCTTGTTCCCCTGGTCCTCCCACAATGCTTGGTGGCAGCAGTGCTTGTGGGGCTCCCTTGGGCAATGGAGGGGATGCTGTCCCAGGATCAATAACTTCCCCAAGTCCCAAGTCTGTCATGGCCTCAGCTGTGGCTCACTTGGCCATCCTGCCACACTCTCCCCATCTTGCTTGTGGAAAAAGCAGGGCCCTGGGTCCCAATTCTGACTCTTTTCCCTGTGGATATGTGTCCTGGGCTAGTCAGTTCACCCGTTTCCTCAGTGTAAAGTGGGGATAATGGTATTGAATTCCTAACCCTTCCAGTTTGTCTGAAAGGTCATTGTAAGAGTTAAATAAGAGACTGTCACGTGTGTAGCATCCTGTCATGTGTCAGTTAGATTATTTCCCTTCCCCTTCCCATCCGACCCCTTCATTCATTCCTGGTTCCCTGGAGTGGGTCTCGGACTGTGTGTCTGCACACGAGTGTCTGTTTCTTTCCCACCCTTTTCAGTTTCTAATCCCCTCCCCGCAAATGCATAGGAATTGTTTCCTGGAGCTCAGGTGGGGGGTCCCGAGGAAGTGTAAGCAGGTCCTGGGGACTGCTTACCCTTCAGCTGGAGTGCACAGTGGGGTTGGGAAGGGAGCAGGGTGTATCTGTGTGTGTGTGTGTGTGTGTGACTGCGTGTGTGCACACTGGTTACTTCCTCTCTCAGGGGGACGTTGGGAGCAAATCCCAAGGGCAGCCTGGCCAGCCTGCTCTGGGCCCAGCCCCAAGACTCGGGCCTGACTCCCTTTCCCTCCTTGGCCTGTTTCTCTATTATCATCCTCCCCCTGCAGTTCTCCCTGGATCCTGGAGAACAGGACACAGGCTGTGGGGTCACCTGCCTGCCACCTCCCTCCCTTGCTGTTCTCATTACTGGAGGTAGAGGGTGGGTGGGAGGAGGAGGGAGGGGGGCAATTTCAAAAATCTGCTTCTGGATCTGTTTCCTTCAGTCTCTCTCACTGCATGTCAGCTCCATGCAGGTGGAGGTTGGTGGCCCCTCAAAAAATACTTGTTGAACAAATTCTTTCCATCTACATGCTACTGAGGAAGGTTTGATGTATTTTGCATTCAGACTTTGCACACACATGTACCCTGATAAGCATGTTTCACCCAGGGAGAATTGCTGGGCCCTGGGGCTCAGGCAGGACCCCCCAGAGATGAGCCTCTGCCTGGAGGAGCTCAGGGCTCTGGAGCAGAGACATGAGGAACATCTGGCAAGTGCCCAGTGTGGGTCTTGCACACAGTAGGGCTTGCTTGACAGGTGGTTCTCCTTAGGCTGTGACCTGCCTGATGGGGCTGTCGCTGCAGGTCAGAGGCAGAGCTGGAGATGTTGAGATGACTTCTGCTCTGAGAGTTGCACAATGCCCCTGCTGTGTGCCAGGCATAGGGCAAGGCACTCTCTATCATCTTGTTTAGTTTTGGCTGGAGGATTGTGAGAGAGGTTCTATCAGCCCCTGGGTGGGGCCACACCAGGTGGAGTGACCATGCAAGCAGGTCCCTGGAGGTAGGGAAGTGTGAAGTGGATTTTGAGATGAGTCTGGACACGTAGTTTGAGGATCAACCACACAAGACCATAAATGCTGGGCTAGAAATTAAGCATTATCCTTTATGTCAGGGAGCATCAGAATCTCCAGGTGTTTGTTAAAATGCAGATTGTCGGCCACTACCTGCTGAGATTTTTGACTCAGTAGGGTCAATATGGGGCCCAGGAACCTGAATTTTTAATACTTTTCTGGAAGATTAATTTACCCATGTTTGCTGGTTGGATGGCAGCTAGAGGACTGCTGCATGTTCCCTGGGTTGTCCAGGACTCCTCCCAGACTCCTTGGGAGGCAGTAAAACTATTCTCATTTTCCATAAAGGGACTGAGCTCAGAGAAGTGGCTTGTCTTAGGTGACACAGCAGCAAGTCAGAGGCTGATACTGACTAATATTCGTCCGCATTCCTTAACTGCTGTTCTAAGCCTGTTCAAGGAGTCCTCATTAAACCCTCACAACGCCCCTAGGTCTCATTCCTATTGCACAGCCAAGGAACTGGAGGAAGAGTCTGCCACCACAGGTTCAAGGCCCCACAGCTAGTGAAGCTTGGCACACTGAGGTCGAGATGTAGTGGGACTGGAGAGGGCCTGTCCTGGCCCTTGCAAGAGCGAATGCCCTCCCTCTCCCTTCTTTTGGGGCGTGGGCGTGGGCGTAGGTGGAGCTGAGCCTGTGGCTGGGGCCAGAGGCGGGGGTGGG